GAAGTCCTACATCAGTGATTATTTGCGGAAAAGAATATTAACTTTCCAGGAGAGCTTTTAATCCAGCAACCAGCGTTGAAAGCGCTTCAAAACTTCAACGAAGAACCATGAACAAGACTGACTTACACCAAGTTAACGAAAAATTGCGAAGAAATGTCGAAATCCTGGCTGTGTGTCAACTCATCCCGGTTATTGATTTCATAGCCAAAACAGTTGCTCGAATTGCACATTCCGCAACGAGGATTATTTTTAGTACCAAAAGCGTGGGAACATCCAGAAAGCGCCCATCATTGTAGGAAAGCAGGACAAACACGTAAGATACCACAGCAGTATGAAATTCGCCTCCCAGGAGCGCAGAAAATTTTGTATAAAAAACACTCAACAAAGTGGCGCGGCTTAGATCGTACTTGAAATTTTGTGTGACCTTGAAGATGGAAGGAAAACCATTTTTAGGCTGATTCTGGTGAATCATCTGCACTGAGAAGAAAGAAAACTACTGCAGGTAGATTCCGTAACCCTCCTCAGCTCGTCGAGGATAGCGCCGCGTAAATAGAGAAAATAGACCCCTAGTTTCAGCGCAGGTGCGTATTCAATTCAAGGTCAAGGACGTTTTGCTACCATTCATGTCATGAAAAGGGTAGAATGCAAGCTCCTTAGCAGAGAGTAGTTTTAAACGCTGCGGATTTCTGTGTGTGGAATGAAGCAGCTCCACAACAAACTTTAACAGCATATATGGCGCCAGGGATCCAGAAGGGACTCGAACACATGATAAGCATCTCCACTCTTTGAACAGCAGCAGCAAGCTCCACCGAGAGTACCCGACTCAGAGTAGCATCGAGAAAACAGGACCAAGGGAAACTATTAATCTAGACTTCCCTGAACAATACAAAACGCGGATACAAGTATTTCTTCATTGTGGTAGCGTCCTACAGCAAGTGGCTTGAAGTATGGCAAATGACGGAACGTACAGTCTTTGTCATTAATATAACTGCGAGGTATTTTTGAAACCCTGGAAGTGCCACAGTAGGTAACGAAAGACAGTGAGACGTTTTTGTTTCCCAAAAGAGAAAGCAGTTCTTCCAAAAGAACGACCTGAAACATATCACAAGTGCACCGTATGACCCATCTACGAATGATCTACCAGAGAGGATATTGTACGAAACTAAGCAAGCGCTGATCAAGGATGGAACGGGGACGCCGAAATGCAGGCTCTCGCGATTCCCATTGAAGCAGCACACCACGATCAATAGAACAGCAAATCGTACCCCAGAAGACTATTGCACGGCCGGGAAATTTCATTTCCTATTACTTGCTTCGTAACAAGTAACCAGCAGTTTGGGGACCGTTCGCAATATTGGGAGGGTTCACGAGGCACCGCTTCTGATCAAACTCTCTTCAAAAATATTTCTGATACTTGCAATGGCCACAGAAGGGCTTGATCATTCATCATAGCTTGAGAAAAAATAACCGTGAAGTTTTGAAACTTCAGGGTTGTTATTTTTATCTCATCTGAAAAAAGTTAAATGGCAATAGCCGATCAGGCCCACTGATACCCTCAGCATCGTTTTTCATTCTGGTGCAACACGAGGCTTCAATTAGACATGCGGAGGTGTCCGTGGCACAGAAGCCACCAAGAACAGTGACCCCGGCGACTTATTCGTCACCCAAAACCCGAAGACACAGGCGTCCCTCTGATTGGTATAAATATCCACCTAAAGAAAGACGCCACGCGTTGTGTCGCCGGTTCCTGCCGAGGTGTCGTATTTCGGCTCGCACCTTGGAAGCTCGGGGTTTTGAATGGAGGTGACTCTCGGTTTGCGTACAGGTTTTCTGTTTCAGTGCGCCCTTCTAGTAAAAAAAAAAAAGAATTATCGTCGAGGAACTCGTAGTTGGTGCTACATTATTCTGCCCGGAGTCAGGCGCACGGCCACGCGTTATAAATACATTTGTAGTATAAAATATAAGTAAACACACGCGATTTAATGCACGGATTTCCTTCTGATCTACAAAAACGCTGGCTGTCAAGCTGATTTTTAAGTAAAACAATTTAAAAATGAAACTCATTCATTGCACAGCATGGCATCCTTTGGTATTACCTCCATACCTTTTTCCGATCGGGCTGATGACAGCCTCGTTTGAGTTTTCCGATAACACTCTATTCAAGGGTTTGCAGGCGTCGGAAAGTGCCTACACGCGTTCGAAAAATTAGGGCTCTGTATCACGGTATGTGTGTCAATCCGTCCCTTGTGAGCAGATGTACATATTTCAAATGTGCTAACGCCACTCTGAGGTATGTCATGGTGAGGATCGTCACTTCAACGCGAAAAGTAAATTCGCCGCTATGCCCACTCTCAATAAAAGGCAGTTAGTTACCTGTGGTAGCGATCCGATCACAATGCGCGAAGGGTCAGCTGATTATTTAGAAGTTTGATCTCTACTGATTCGTCAGTGGCATGGACAGCTTCAACAATTGGTGACCGCTAGGTGCTTACAGGCAAAACCTCAAGAGCAACTGAAAAATGTTGTTTTTTTTTTCCCAAAAAAAATGGGGGAGGGGGGACGAGTGAATTTAAGAAAAAGCGAAAGTATGCAGGCGAACTGCTTAGGAATCATCATAATCTAAACCCTGAAACACGGTGAAATACAATAATAGTTCATCCAGTTGTCTTATGTGTAGTAATGTGCACAGTCGAGTTCTCTTCCCATAGATTCCCGCAGTTACCCAATTTCGTCTAGCTTGGATGAGCCACGGATGATGTGTTTCTTTAGGAATGTGGGTTTGCAAGAATCTCTCAAGATTTACGTGAGCCGCTTAGATTTAATAGAATACTTTCAAAAATGCACTCATCATATACCTTGTCATCCGGAATAAAGGCAATCAAATTGTTCATTGTGTGGCCCATTGGTTTTGAAAAGACTGTCCAAACTAACGCACAAAACGTTATCTGCCTCGCACTCACCATTTTTTTCTCTCGGCAGTTTCATTTCTTGCAAAAGATGGCGTTCGGAAGGCAGCGCAAGTCCGGTGACGTTTATTATGAGCCTTTTTCAATGACAGACAACGTAAGTCACTAAGGTTAGCCCCTTGAGGAGTGCTCAAAAACCTTAGAAAGTGGCTGACACTTCATGTCCGCTCGCCAAACAAGTTGCGCGCGCGAAGGGAATCACGCTACGCGTTCTTCTGTGGATGCCCTTTAAAGCAAGCAAACAAACGTCGTCAGGGTTTAACTTCGTTGCACTATGTATTCCGCTAAAGATTTCGACCCTTTTAAGTCAATGAGGCCTTAGCCTCACGTGCAAGCTTTTGAAGACATTCATGTTCATGCATAAATGACAAAGCTGGGAAAATAAAACTTATATTTTGAATGGCAGACAAATTGTAATTTACTAATGCTGTTAATTTGGTCTTTTGTACTTGTAAAATGTGCAATGTATACATGTAGCCTAATTTTTGTCAGTGCCTTTTTTTTTTTCCTGAATCTGATATTTTCAACTTGCCTACGGTAGTTACGGCAAAATTTTACTTTTTGAATAGAGTTGGTTGTCAATCGTATTGTTGTCATCCTGAGTTGGCTTGCTTTTGGGGGTAATGCTCATGAAGCTGTCCATGAACACGTAAAAATACCATTCTTAATGAATTTTCGTGGAGAACGCAAACAAATTTTGATTTTGACACGGGATAAAGGGTTTACTTAAAGAACTTGGCAACAATGATGAAAATTGTCGCAAAAAATGCGTCCATGTGAGCAGACTTGCTGACCGAATAATAAACACCTCATGTGTTGCATTTCTCGCGCATTAAGTAAACAAAATATCTTACAATTTTTACATGGAATTTGGTTGCCACCTATATTGGCGAGGTCCATGTTACCATTCCATAGATCTTCGATCAGCCATAGACCTTCGATCAGCCATAGACCTTCGATCAGCCATAGACCTTCGATCAGACATAGACCTTCGTTCAGCCGAGCCGCTGTCCAAAGATACCCAGGGCTCTGACGTGGATGTCGATGCTGTGCGCCGTCTCTCCAAACTGCAGGGCAAGAAGGGCTTGACACTTTCTCCCTTCAGGTTGCTCTCACCAGAACGGCGGATCGTACGACTTTCCCTTGAGAGAGGAGGAGGACAGGGACAATTCGGACACAAGTTTAGACGGCAGTACGCGAAGTAACCCTGTCGCAGAACCTGTTTCAGAAGCTGCCGGTGCACATCAGGCTTATGTGACCAGGTCTGGGAGAATTGTGTGAAGGCCTGTCACACTAGGTTTTTAGGGTTGATGTGTGACTTAACCTTTAACAGAAGTTTTCAAGATGCTTTGAAGATCGTGCTTGTTGTCCGGATCGTTGGTTGACAGTTGATGTGTTGTCTAAACTTTACCTGATGTTTACATATTTTAAATTACTCTGTGATGTGTTATTTAAACCTTACTAGATACTTTGTACATATTGTAAATTACTCTGTGATGTGTTATTTAAACCTTACTAGATACTTTGTACATATTGTAAATTACTCTGTGATGTGTTATTTAAACCTTACCAGATGCTTTGTACATATTCTAAATTACCCTGTTTTTAAAAAAAAAAAGGGAGATGTCGTGATTGTTGAATGACCCACGTGCGACGCGGCTGGCGCGAGACACGTGGCCACGCGTTAAAATTAACGACAAGTTAAAGACTTTTTTTTTCTGTTTGAGAGCTTGGGTGGTTCATTTCACAGTTATTGCCGGCACCCAGACTTAGGAAATCTGACATTCATCTTCGTGACCACATCCAAACAGTAATAAAAGCGGATATTTTTTTTTTCGGGGGGGGGGGGGGGGGGGGGCTTTTTAATAGGCTGCGCAGAAATCACCCCGCACAAAAATACTATCCGGGTCACGCTGTTCCAATAACATATAACGACGCAGGCCGTTAGTGAAATGCCGTCTTCCGGGACTCACACACTACGCGCCACGAAAGAAAGACATATCACGGAAGCAAATGAAGAGGCTTCCGCAGAAATGGCGACCTAAGCTTCAGTTTATTTTGGAAGAGGGTAAAAAAAAAAGAAAATAAAAAAAAAAAAAAAAAAAAAACAGGCAGACTTGACAAGTCCTGCAAGAGAGATGCTTTTCTGGCTCAAAGAGCAAGATCCGCGTTGAAGGAGCGTTTTAAGACTCCCGATGACTGATTTACGGTAGACCCGGCGCAGCGTTTCAGCCTCAAGATTAGCATCGAGCGCGTGGTTTCAAGGTGAAAACAGAACATTCAGCACCCTGTGTGTTTATAATGGGGGGAAAGTGCGCTCTGGCGTTTGCCCCCGTATTCATACATTGCGAAAATGTATACCTGCGTCACCGCGCTATATTCATTCAAGTTGTCCTACAAGGTCTTGGTAATTCGCAGTGCTATACTCGATACGAAATTGCCTTTCTAATTAATTATGCTACATGCATCGCAAACGTTCTATTTTCACTTTATATATGACGTAGACAAGCTCCTAAATCTAACGCAGTATATGTCAGACTGAGGGTTCTTGTCGTTGACTAGCCACACCAAAAGGGTGTTTAAACCAAAATCAATGAACGTGTTTAAAACTTAATATTCACATAGAACTACAAATAAAAAACGCTACGTTGGTTTGGTTTTATTTAACGATTAGTTTTTTTGTATTAATTCCAGCACTCTGTGCTATGACGAAATGATAAATGTAACACAAATTGTACGCACCTCTCTTGAGCATCACTAAACGGGTAATATGGGCTATTTGGTTCGTAACTAAGTTATGAAATTAACGTTAAAAAACCGGAAGCGGAGGAGAAACTTAAGGCAACGCGCGCCCTGTTTATACCCCGTATTCCGCCCATGTTTTCCGCAATGTGTTTACGACCTGATTTTGACCTTAGTTAAAGGCCAACACGGCAAAAAAAAAAAAAAAAAGCACAAACCCTCCAGATATAGTAAACACTTCTCGTCCTTTCTTTCCAGTGTAATATCGCGAAAATCTCAGAGGTGACCTTTCACAACGCAGCGCGAAGCGCGACAACAAATTACAAACGCAATGGCTTCTCTGAATTTCAGTTACAGCAACTGCAAAAAAAAAAAAAAAAAGTTAGTTTTGTTTAAAAAAAAAAAAAATGAAGCTTCAGTAAAGAGAGTTCTTCATTCCGTGAACACAATTCTCCACAGCGTCGCGACGTAGTATTTTTCATTCGAGGACATTAGCTTTTTTTTTTGTCCCACTCCCTCGAACATTCGTGGTGGAAAACGTGTCTTGCGACTTCCGAGTCCCCAGTGTGCTTTGGCATAATTTTTCAGCTCTTTCCGGCGCTTCTTTCCAGTGGTACGTCCGTCTCGATAATCTGAAAAAGAAAAGAAAGAGAGAGAGAGAAAAGGCGTCGCTTTACTCAATTTTAACGCGTGGCCTGAAGGCAGAAGTGTTGGGGAAAAGCAATCATCGCCCCTTCGCGAAATTTCTCCACGGTGTTGCGGGAGTCGACGCATGAACGCGTGTGAGCGGCTTGAGTAGATTCTTAAGTTGTACGCGTGCTCATGAAAGTGGAGTGTTTCGGGAGAGCTGCGCTTTCGTGTCTGTGTCGTTGATAGCGCTGTATTTAACGTGTGAGATGGAAAATTGTCAGCAAAATCGTTCGGGGCCGCCGTTTAGGGATTGTTTTTTTCGGAAGTGCAGATCGACACAACTACCAGCTTTTCCACCGCGGCAAACAAGTGTGACGCGCGCCTGCATAAAATTCTTTATGCATCGTGAAACTGCGTATACCAATCCTCAAAAAAGACTCGCTGAAGCACGGCTAGCGTGTTTTCCGTTGTCAATAAAAAGACACGCAGAGGCGTTTCCGAGGTTCATCCACACACGATCACAATTGATATCTTGGGGGTTGTTTTTCAGGTACGCTTCCAGTATCCTTTGTTTCACGTAAAAGAGACACTGAGTTAAATTTTTTGTTTGCATTTAGGAATCAAATATCTAAATCTTCGCAGCAACCAAATGTATTTTATTATTTTTTTTTTAGAGCGGACATGTATGGTGACGTAGTGGGCGTCAGTTTTCTTGTTATCGCTGTGTGGGCAGTTAAGACTTGATAGGAACGACGTGAAGTTCATTTCAGAAAGCAGATGTGAGCTGGCCGCGCAAACTTTGGTAACCTCATTCTAACTATTGCCCTACCCTATATGGGCATCATATGAACTCTACGTCTTTACCCGGACGAAGTCACGAATTTTCTTTCATGTCTTTTAACTATTACAGCCAGTGAACCTTTATAACCACACAAACGACCCCGGTTAATACTGTAGAAAAACTTGTAAATAGGCTAGTTGGTGAACATTAGGGAGCACGGTGTCAGATGCAAAAAACAACGGACACAAGGAAGGAGGAACACACACACACAGGCGTATGTGGCTTTTTCCTGGTTTTTTTTGTTTTTTTTTTTGCGTCTCTTTATGTTTTTTAACGCTCACCAACAGATGCGCCTGTGTATGTGTGTCTTCTTCCTTGTGTCTGTTTTCTTTTTTTTTTTCTTCTTTTTTTTTTTTTTCTTGAGCCCCTCTACGCACATCCGCGTTTGAACGCGTTTCAGTGCGGAGCGGGGTCCTTTAGGCCAGAAGCGGTTGCTTGCGGTACGACGCGCGCCATCGCGAAACGCCTCGCAGTGCGCCGCAGGGGAGTAGAGACCGGCTCAACTTTGGATGCGGCAGTAGCCGTAGTGAGCGTTGCAGAAGACCAATCAGAAGCCGAGAAAGAAGAGGAGGGTCACGTGTTCGCTCGCGCCACTCGGCGAGGCGTATCCGGGTCTCCACTCGCGGAACTTGGTTTTACAGCGAAGCTGTATATGACTCGTTGGTATAAGTTTTTTCGTCTCCGTCGACATAAAACTCACTCGCGCGACTTATCACCGTTCGCGCACGCCTTAACCCTTATCACGTGGTTTTGACACTGTTTCAATAAGAAAACCACAAAGTCAAAACCACGTGATAGATGATAAGCACATAGTGCTCCCCGCATGCGTTTCGCGGTAAAGATTCTGGTTGCATAAGCTGCCGCCGCAACAGCAGAGTACGAAGTGTGGAGTGACGTCACTAGCCCCGCTAACAATGCGAAGCACGTAGCTCTCTCCGCACGCGTTTCTCGGTAAAGATTGCGGTTACGCAAGCTGCCGTGGAAACGGGAGCGTACGAAAGTCTTTCAGATATATCAAAAAAGTATTGGTACAGTGCATTTTCTTTTCTTTCGTCAATCAATTAGTATAGACCCTTTTTGCTGTTTCCAAACTTGAAATGCCGCTTGCGTCCCAAACGACTTCCGGTCGCATCGTCTTTGCAAGCCTGTTGAGCTTGTTTATGTCACCAGTGCTAGAAAGCATAAATGTTACGCGGACAACAAAGTTGGAGGTTTAACGAGGGCCTTCGGCTGTACAATATTACATCTTGGAGGAGGCAAGTTGGTTTACAAGAATACTCGAAACATTTTAACAAAGCTCGCACTCCTTCGTTCTTTTGGCGTTCTTCTGTTAAATTGGTGGTTAAACGTTTCATCTACATTTCAAGCACCGGTGCTAAGGTCGCCTCTGTTCATTTTTTTTATAAACCGGAAGTTCTCTGGGACGTCAACGACTAGAGCACCACCTGGTGGCGTTTGTCAAAAAAGGGTGCAAAAAGTATATAATGCAGTGGGCAATCGTTGCAGGTGATACCACAGTTTCGCTGTCCAACCACCTTTACAGTGTGGATTGGAACCTTATTTTGTTTCGTTTTCGGGAGGGTTGCGAATTGGTGAGCCGCTAGCAACGAGTCGACAGCTTGACTGCTGTCGACTGCGTGGGAACGCAACTGTGTGTACAAGCGCAGTCGTTCTTCGCAACAGTACGCGTCCGCTTGCCGTTAGGGAACGCACCGCCGCACCGCGCTCAAACGTATATGTGCGTATGTGCCTTTATATCGTGCTTCCTGGTTATAAATACCCTTAGCGAAAGAAAAAAAAAGATACGTAATTCAATTTTGAGGTGAACCGACGTACTGAACGTTTCGGATCATTGCCACTTCCGTAGGTTGATTTAGTTATCCTAATATTATTGTTGAATCCATTATGCACTCCACGACCACCGCGCAAGAAAAATAGATTTACATTTGAATTTACCGGATTATGTTCTATCTAAATTGAATCAATACAGCGCTTTTTTAAAATTATTGTCCTTGCTCTCAAATACAAACTTAATATTACATTTGCAAGTTATGATTTATTTATTATTACTTTATTTTTTTATTTTTTTTGCTAAGAGGAACGAACACTCCAATAACCGCAGGATATTTTAGCCCTTTGCGATGTAATACGTTTTGGGCTTCTTTGGCGGCCGTCAATACGTCCTACTCCGAGTTAGCTGCAGTGGGTCAGGGTCACACGCCCGTCAGCTCCCGCATAATCCAGGAGCCTGCGTTCTTTCTTTCTTTAACATGGACTGCAGCAGACGCTACGAGCGGGCGCGCCTATGAGTACTATCTGCTTGGCTTGTATCCTTTGCCGTAGTCCATATTAAGGCGAGGTGCAGACAGTGGTAGTATCTCCACAAACAGCAAGAACACTCCGGCCGACCTCTTCGTCCGATAAGAACTGCCGAATGAAAATCTCTTCGTCGAGGCCAGAGTTGTCCCACATTCTGGGTACGACGGCTAGATCCTGGATCGATACACTATTTCCACACTGGAACCACGTTTGGTGACAAAAACACCTGGACAATTATATTTTTTTTGTCGTGATATGGTGCCTTTACATGGCTACACGTAAACGTAATAGAAATAACAGCAAACATGCAGGCGAGGTGGTAACCCTTCAGTATTGCGAAAACACAGACCCAGAAAACAAAAACAACAACAACAAAAAAAAGGCAAGACACACGGATTTCCTTTGTTTATTTTACCGCCTTCCTATTCCGTTGCGGAATTTCTCAACGCAGGAAATAGATTTTCCTTGAGTGTTTTAGAATGTGTATTGGTGTCCTGTAGTTTCTCCCACAGATTCTCTCAGCTTCTTTGACGGGCTGTGATCAGGACTTCATGTTATGCAGTGTGTCTCAACTAACTCGCACCAAACTAGATTTAAGAAAAGAGAAACAAAGCGTCCTGCGGGAGTGAAACTAACTGCATGTTGTTAGCAAGCGTCTCACAAAAGTGCACAATTTTTTTTTAGTACGCCTAGTTATTTAAATCAGGGTGTCGAACCGGAACCGAACCGAACCGAAAACCGGAACCGAACCGGTATTTTTTCCGGAACTGAACCCGAACCCGAACCGTTATATTGTTATCGCGATGAACCCGAACCGGAACTGAACCGGAAAAAAAATAACGGTTACCGGCTCATGTCAAAACGGTTCGGCCACGCGCTGTTGACAATGAATGTGCTATCAATGCCATTTGTTTTTAAGTGCCGTCAACTGACACACACCTTGCCTACATATTTTTCTTCTCCACTCAGTCTTAGGAATATAAACGCTGCATCCATGAATCTTGACATAGGAACCAGTATTGCGCTGGTCGCGGCTTGCACGGAAGAAAAAGAATTGGAAGGCTGTGCAAAAAAAAAAAAAAAAAAAAAAAATCGCGTCACGGGATTTTATTTTTTTACAATCTCGTAAATCCTAAATGCTGTTGTGTGCTCATTTCATAACACGTTTCTAGAACGCGCGAGTTCTTGAAGCTTGCTTCCATCGGAATGAGAAAAGAAAAGGCTGTGGAGTTCGATAATAATGCATCCGGTTTCGTATAGGCACTTAGAAGCTAACATATTTGTGAAACAGCGAACTCTTCTATTTTAATATTTATCCTATTACGTCCTTCTGGCGTTGCGTTCGGTGAAGTGTTTTTCATATTCCGTATCTTGTTTAATGAAAACTTCTTTAAGGGTATAATTTGAGTTACCGAAGGCTAGTTCAAATAAAGAAAGCTGTATTTTCTCCCCACTGTTCCTTCAATTGCTTACACGCCGAGGTGGCGGGATAGTTAGCGAGTTCTACTTGTAAGTGGGTTTGTAAGGAGGTCGCGGATTTTACGGCTACTGCGTCGGACCCAATTAGATGAAGTCCGAATGCGTAAACGTCGGTGAGGTAACCTTTGAGTGCACATAAAGAAACCATTCCTGGTAGAAATCCCTGAGCCTTACACTACGATGTATCCCGTTTCGTATGTGCTGATTTCAGATGTTTTATTTGTAATTTATTTTGATGTTGCAATTTGTCATTTATAATTTCCGAACCGGTTCGCGAACCGGTTCAGCGCCCCGAACCGGTTCGCGAACCGGTTCGCGGATCGAATTAATCGAACCGGAACTGAACCGGAACAAAATAAATTT